TATATATATATATATATATATATATATATATATATATAGTGTTCTAAGAATATATGTCATATTTGCAGTTCATAGATGTTTACTGAACAAAACTGAAACAGTTCCAGCAACATCGACTGCTACTTGTGTCTGTAATCTGACAATGAAAGTGCTCCTGATAATTCCTTCTTTATTTTTCAAAAACAGAAAATGTGTTCAGATAGACAGGGAGTCGACTAAAGACCCATGATAAAGGGAGGAAGCATCCGAGAGAGAGAGAGAGAGAGAGAGAGAGAGAGAGAGAGAGAGAGAGAGAGAGAGAGAGAGAGAGAGAGAGAGAGAGAGAGAGAGAGAGAGAGAGAGGGCGCTGCCTGGACGAGTTGGGATTAACCCGCCATTGACGAGCTAACGATCCTGTTTGTGGTTTGATCTGCTGTCTGTTGATCAACGCTGTTTGGTATAAAACATTTGATTTAATGGATTTTGAGCATCACTTGAAAGGCATCGGGTATAGATTGACAGAGTCGTATGAAGACCGATGACAAAGGCAGGCAGCAGTCAGGAGAAAGTGAAAAAGCGCTGCCGGATGAAAAGAGAGCTTCCTCGCCCACTCTATCGCATAACAGTAAAAAAATAGTTGTTCATAAGTTTAACGGTTGCAAATCAAGTCCGCTGAAAGAAACAGAAAAAGTAGCGCCTGCGTGACACTTTCCACTTGGCGTCGGTGGGCTCGATCTCGGGTCCCTCGCGTGAGAGGAACTCGTCTTGCCAACCATGCTACCTGGAGGTACTAATGAAGTAGGATAAGGATATTGTAACAGTATGGATGTTTTATGTTTAACTTCTGTTGTGAATTTGTGTGGATTGAATTGGGCACATGTATTTGGTGTGTTTTATAGAAAACATCGTTTGAAACAGAAAGAAACTGTACAAACGCAATAACTTCGAAAACATCACACTCAAAAATGAAATGAGATTTCTAACTGGCTCTAAGGGAATGTACCGAACAACTATGTACTCCTTTACCGTTTAAATTCCAAAATTGAGAGAGACAAGGGAGGTTACCAAAACCTTGGAAACTCGCCAACATTACACTTAATCTACGAGCGGCGACAACAAAACGCTCTAAATCATAGGCCAGTTTCGCTAACCATTGTAATATGTAAGCTTCTGGAAGGATAATCAGCAAGCAATGGGCTAAGATGCTTGGAAAACACAGTATGATATCGAGGAAGCAATTTGATTTAGGGAGGTAAGGTCATGTGAGTAAATCTCCTCAGTTTTTCTGCCAGTTTCTGAAATATTACAAGAGACGTCTGGGTGGATTACGTACACTTTAAAATGCGTTTGATAAGGTAAAACAGTAAGCCATTATAGATCTAGGTGAAAGAGAAGAAGAGAAGAAAAAAATCACGTGAATTAGGTTAAAAAGCCCGCGTGTGAGGCGCCGTGTTGGCGGGCGTAAGAGCAATCCCTTCCCTTTGAAATTTAAATGTCCGACGCCGCGTGTCGTTATTGTTTGAATTACTACACATCGCGACACAGTTCCTTTGTCAAACTCGGCGCCGAAAACAAAATAACATATACAGCCAGGAGTAGTACAACCAGATTCTTACTTCTGAACATGAGTGGAAATCAGTTCCAATCTCTAATTCTAATTATTGGTGTTCACTCGAATTCCTGTTAGACAAAATCTTGTTTCGATCATAAATTTCAT